TATCATTATAAAGAATGTAGGTATACATCAGGGAACAAAGCCCAATAATAAATTTAAAATATGCCTTCTGAATATTAATATCCAATACAAAAGATAAGTTCAGTATGAGAATAACATCCCCCTCACCTCAAGAGATTCTAGATCTTCCTTTTGACATTACCTCCTACTAAAACCATACATTTCACATTTCAAAAACTTTCTATCATTATAAAGAATGTAGGTATACATCAGGGAACAAAGCCCAATAATAAATTTAAAATATGCCTTCTGAATATTAATATCCAATACAAAAGATAAGTTCAGTATGAGAATAACATCCCCCTCACCTCAAGGGTACATGCACTCGCTGGAGAGAGACAGAGCGAAGGAAAATGAAAAATCCCACCCCCCCCTCAGGTAGGATGGCTATGCCACAACCCCCTTCTCCTCCATCTTCCTCTTGGAATTTTGGGCACACAGGCCTAGCATGACTTTTCAAGCCATTGGGTTCAGGACTCAAACCATGGTCAGCCAGCCATGTGGGAATCTAGTGTCTTACCACCATACCAGCTGCTGCCCCCAGGAATGATGTGTTTCTAAGTGAACTGTCATGACTAAATTCTAGACTTAACTTTATTCAAAACTGAATTCAAGACATTAATTCTTCACAGCAAAGTAATAATAACAATAATAATAGAAGAGAAGTTGTTAAGTGTATAGAAATGATATATTATCTATAATTTGAAAGCCTTCTAGATTAAAAAAAAAATCAAACAAAAATACTATTAGGTCATCAGCAAAGTCATGATGTATTTTCCATTTTCCTATGTTTTTCTATACAAAAATGCATCATGACTTTCTCAATGACCCAAAAGAAAAAACATAGAAGAATTAATTCCTCTTTAACAAAAAAAACAAACTTTCTAATTGTGACTCAAAATCTAGAAGCAATATTAAAATTTTGAATTCATAAAAGTTAATAAAATAGGGACCAGAAGTTAGTGCAATGGTTATGTCGCTGAACTCCCATGCAGTCGACCACGGCTCGAGTCCCAGACCCAGTGGCTTAAACTCACACCAGGCGCATGTGCGTGCATGCCCAAGATCCCGAGAGGAAAATGGAGGAGAAGAGAAAAAAGGAATGGAAAACAACTGTAGACACCTGAAATAGATAGTGTGGGAAGAGGATGGGAAATGTCAGAGGGTGAGAAATAGGGGGAAATAAATATATATGAAACTAGAAATGGAAAATTAGTGATGATAACATGTATGATTAAGTCACTATGCAGTATATTCTGGATGGGAAATCACATTTTGTATGCTGTGACGATGCTCAGGGAATGAAAATTAAATAATTAATTAATTAATTAATATTTTAAAAAAGAATTAGAGATTCTAGATCTTCCTTTTGACATTACCTCCTACTAAAACCATACATTTCACATTTCAAAAACTTTCTATCATTATAAAGAATGTAGGTATACATCAGGGAACAAAGCCCAATAATAAATTTAAAATATGCCTTCTGAATATTAATATCCAATACAAAAGATAAGTTCAGTATGAGAATAACATCCCCCCCCCCTCAAGGGTACATGCACTCGCTGGAGAGAGACAGAGCGAAGGAAAATGAAAAATCCCACCCCCCCTCAGGTAGGATGGCTATGCCACAACCCCCTTCTCCTCCATCTTCCTCTTGGAATTTTGGGCACACAGGCCTAGCATGATTTTTCAAGCCATTGGGTTCAGGACTCAAACCATGGTCAGCCAGCCATGTGGGAATCTAGTGTCTTACCACCATACCAGCTGCTGCCCCCAGGAATGATGTGTTTCTAAGTGAACTGTCATGACTAAATTCTAGACTTAACTTTATTCAAAACTGAATTCAAGACATTAATTCTTCACAGCAAAGTAATAATAACAATAATAATAGAAGAGAAGTTGTTAAGTGTATAGAAATGATATATTATCTATAATTTGAAAGCCTTCTAGATTAAAAAAAAAATCAAACAAAAATACTATTAGGTCATCAGCAAAGTCATGATGTATTTTCCATTTTCCTATGTTTTTCTATACAAAAATGCATCATGACTTTCTCAATGACCCAAAAGAAAAAACATAGAAGAATTAATTCCTCTTTAACAAAAAAAACAAACTTTCTAATTGTGACTCAAAATCTAGAAGCAATATTAAAATTTTGAATTCATAAAAGTTAATAAAATAGGGACCAGAAGTTAGTGCAATGGTTATGTCGCTGAACTCCCATGTAGTCGACCACGGCTCGAGTCCCAGACCCAGTGGCTTAAACTCACACCAGGCGCATGTGCGTGCATGCCCAAGATCCCGAGAGGAAAATGGAGGAGAAGAGATTGCAGTGTGGCCATCCCTGCTGGGGGGTGATTTCTCGCTTTCTGTCTCTCTGTCTCTCTCTGTCTTTCTGGCATGCACACGTGCCCTATAGCAAAAACCTCTCCAAAAAAAAAAAAAAGTTAATAAAACATTGCATGGAAAAAAACAAACAAACAAATAAACCAAGGTCAAAAGGCAATAGGAAAGGGACAAGAACAGAAAATTTTTTAAAAAGTATAACCTTGGACATATAAAAAGATGTTCAGTCTCATTTATAACTAAAACTACACTGGGGTGTGGGGTGGGAGAATGACACTGAGAAACCATTTCAAGCTTAGTAGCTTTAAAATAAAAAGAATGAGGAACATATCTATAGGGTACCATGCAGTTGTTTCTAGAATTTGCTGTTAAATTTACAAAAAAAAAAAAGCAGCATATAAAACATGATCCAGTTCCTTCAAACTGGCAGGTGGCATAGTGGTTAAGATATTGGCTTCCCACATGTTTGAACATGGGTCAAGTCCCGGATCTGGAGACTTAAAACTCATGCCGGGCACATGTGTGTGCATGCTCAAAATCCCAAGAGGAGAATGGAGAAGAGATAGCAGCATGGCTATCTCCCTTGGAGCAGTGAATTCTTGCTTTCTATTTCTCTGCTTCTCAGTGAGTACACGTGCCATATAGCAAAATATTCTCAAAAAGAAAAGAAAGAAAGAAAGATGATCCAATTCCAAAGAACTTGATGTCTTTCCAAAGAAAGGAAAAATATATATACATGTATCTTTCATCTGTACAAAAACAAACAGAGGAATTTCATAAACCAGAAAACTAAAGAGATTAGTGACTTATAGGGGGGTGGGTAGGAATAGGATGAAAAGACGGAAGAATGAGAAATGGTTAAAAGGGATAAGAAAGAGTGACATTTCTCACAGTATTCTATTTTGTGTACTAACATTTCATATACTCAGACAAATAAAACTTAAAATCAACAAAGGATGAGGGTACAATACAAACAGAAACAAATGAAACTAGTCATACTACAAATGAAAACAAGACTACACTTACGAGTTGGTAGGAGCAGAGAAAATAATTAATCTAGGTCAGTTTGGAACATAGCACATTTAACTATGAACTCTAGGCAGACCAAACTGTACAGAAATATTATACTCTATTCAAGGGGGTTTCTCACAGGGGTTTGCTTGGGATAACAATTCTAAAAGTACTTTATGTGTATTATAATAAGTACTATGGACAATGAAAAATCTAGTTTCTTTTTGCCAGAGAGAGGACTTATAAATAAAACCTGAATAAATCCTATGGTTGTTGAATTAGAATCGAAATTATCAGTATGAATGAATAATTTTGAAACAAATATACACACACAGAGACACAAAAGCAGAGACAGGTGTGTATATACTCATGTAACACACATTTCCTAGCTCTGTCTTTTAGAGAGCTTGGAAACAATGACAGCCAGTAATGAACCACTTATAAGCAACACTCCTTAGAGAAATGGTTGCTACTAGGGCTCGAATAAGAAAAATGTAAGGTATGTCTAGAATATTTGGATGTGTCAGAAAGTGAGGAAGTGCTCAAAAAAATGATGGGGAGATGTCAAAATGACAGAAGTCTGGTTAAAGCAGCAGGGATGATTTCTCACTTTGCCTCTCTCTTGCTCTTGGGAGAGCGCACACGCCCTATGTCAAAAATCTAAAAATAAGTAAATAAATAAGAGAGAGAAAAAAAACTATTAAAAGAAATAAAGTATAGGATGAATCAGGGATGGTTGTTCATTTTTAGATTAAAAACTGACAATTTATCTATTAACTTTAGATGCATCAATATAACGAAGGTGATGGGCAGCAGAAAGATCAAAAATCATAACGCGAGCTGGTCCTGTAAGCAATACGGTTAATGCAGTGCATAAAAAGTCAGATCCCACGTGGCTGACTGCAGTTCGAATTACAGCCTCAGTCACATGAAAAACATGCCAGACCCACACACATGCATGCTCAAAATCCTGACAGAATAGAGAAAAGGAAGAAAAAGGACTGTGATGCAACATAGTCATTACTTTCTGTCTCTATCTCTGGCAAGCACAGATGCCCTCTGGCAGAGAAGAAATGTTAAGGAGAAAAATCAAAGAAACCACTTTTAGGTCAGTCCATGGCCTGGGGGGGGTCAAAGAGCTCGATTCCACATGGAACACTGCGCAGTTTGAGTACTGGACCTGGCGACCTGAGAAACACACTGAGCATGTGTGTGTGCCTGTGTGCATCCTTGAAAGAAGGGAAGAGATGCAGAAAGGATTGTGGAGTGACCATCCTCCACGGGAGGTGCTTTCTCCTTTCCCTCTCTCTCTATCTCACTAGTATAAATGCCCTCTAGCAAAAAAAGAAAGAGAGAGAGAGAAATGCTTTCAAGTGTAACATATTCAGTACAAGTTTATGTTAAACTGATAGAATTTAGCAGAATAAGAGAATAAGAAAGCAAGTATACAGTATTACATAGATTACAATATAAGCAAAACTAAACCTACATAATTTTTCCAAACATGTTTATTTAACTGCACAACTCATAAATTCACACTCCGAAGAGTGCAAATTTTCCCTAACAACAAAGCAATATAGCACTGGGGTTATTTCCACAATTTTTTTAGATGCCTAACTTACCGAGTGCCATCTGCTTTCCAGCTTACTTTATATGGCTTCTGCTCTAAAAGTTTAATATTTTGCTTGTCCATGGAAACAGGCTGTGCTCCAGGGAATCCAGACCTTAAAGAAGAACATTTTATTACTACCACGGCTGATATCTACACAAAGCAACACGTGTCTTAAAACAATTTCAAATGAGTCATGCATTTATCACAATGTTCTCTCTATCATGAGATAATTGTCAGTTGAAAGAATACCAGCTTTTAACAAAAATGCTACCAACCCGTTACCATTTTCTTGAGATTTCAGAATACAAGTAAACAGAGTTCTAAACTGACATTGCTCTATTATAGTTACGGGGCTAATTTTAAAATATTAGTATATATGATCTAACTAATACAGAAGGCATGTTTACCACAGGTCTTTTACTTCATGAAGTGTAGATCTTGGCTTAGTTACTTGACATTATTCTAGACTCATATTTCTCTATGATGACACTGCCAACTTGACATAACTCTGCAGGATTGGCAAATTGCTGGTCAAAAGATGCCCAAAAGTGACAAGGCAGGATAAATATACGTCAAGATTAAGGTGCACCAGCAAAGGCTTACCATGACACTGAAACCAATATTATTTCTTCATTATCTTTATCTTTTAGTTGAAATAAGTTCTAGCTGATTTATCTGATCTATATGTATGATGGACTGTCTGGTAAATATTTTAAGCCATGGTAGGAAATAGAACATTTTAAAAGCTGATTTTCCTAGGATTCTGAATACAGGAAACTGGAAAAGAAGGCACATTCAACTTTCATTTCTTCTCTCTTAATAAATTGATTAGGATCAGCCCTAACATTAATTAGAAGTAGTAGAATCAAAGATGTGAAATAAATATTAAATAATGACACTGGCAACTTTCTACTGCTTTGGAAAGACATATGATTTGCCTGATTTTTTACTCAATTGCCTGGTTATTGTACTCACTGTCTCAAAAGAAACTTTTTTTCTTTTTTTGCTATAGGACACATGTGCTTGCCAGAGAGAGGGAATGTGAGAAATCACTCTCCTACAGCAGGAGAATGGTCACATTACAATCCCTTCTCCTTCATTCTTCTCACAGGATTTTGGGCATATATGTACACATAAGTCAGGTCCAGGACTCAAACCACTCAGTTGATCTGGTGAGATCCAATGGCCTTAACCTCTGTACAAACTGCTGGTTGGTCCTAAAACCTGACCTCTTTTTAAGTACTCTATCCAAATATACTATCTTCAAGGAGCAAAGATATATCAATGCTGACATTCATCTTAAGTGTTACAGAGCAAGAATAAATTTTATTTAAAACTTTAAAATATTTATTACCCTTCCCAGCCACAGAATTGATGACACTTCTGCTGTACCTCTCCTAACTTTGGTTGAGTTGTTACTTGAGTTACACCTCTAACAGTTACACCTTCCAAGAAAATAGCACCCTTAAAAAAGAAAGAAAGAAAAATATGTTATTAGAGTTCCGATCCATTTACAAAGACGCGATTAAGAGAAAAATGTCTTTATTTTCACAAATCAAAGTAATTTAATAATATATTAAACAGACACAATCTGATTCAGGAGTTGTGTAAATTCCCTTGGGACTATACACTATTTTCCTTAATCCAACACATGATTTTCAGTATACATACATAGCATAATGTCTATATCCTGTTGTCAAAACATTCTAAAGGTGCTTCTTAGTAATCATGACAATAAATTAGCTACCATTTACAGAAAGCCAAGCAGAGTATTCAGCATTTACAGTCTTTTTAATCTTTACAATTCTGGAAAATAGAACGCATTATATTTACTTCACAGGTGAGTAAATGAGGCATAAGATTTAATGCAACTTATGGGAACCAGCAGTTAGTGTAATGGCTATGTCGCTGGACTCCCACGTAGTCGACCGCGGTTCACATCCCGGACCCGGTGGCTTAAAACTCACGCCGGGCGCGTGTGCGTGCATGCCCAAGATCCCGAGAGGAGAATGGAGGAGAAGGGACTGCGGCGTGACCGTCCCCGCTGGGGGGTGATTTCTCGCTTTCTGTCTCTATGTCTCTGTCTGTCTGGCGAGCGCACGTGCCCTATAGCGAAAATCTCTCAAAAAAAAAAAAAGATTTAATGCAACTTATTTAAACAAAAGAAGATAGAATTTGAATGCAAGCCTATACTACACCATTTCACCAATATGTGTGTGTGGGTGGGGGGGGGGGAGGAATTCAATGGTGGAGTAAGAATTTTAGAGGATAGGATAAACACTCAAACTCTATACCTTTGTAAGTAGAATTGGAATATAAGAGTAGACAAAGTAGGTAAGCCACAGTCATTGGAGTCTCAACATAAAAAGTAAACATTACTCATCATAAATTTTTAATTTAAATCCTCAATTTTTTAAATTTGAAATAAGGCCTTTGTGCTCACCAGAGGGGCGAGGGGGTGGGGGGTAAGAATGTCCCCTACCCTCCATTGAGAGGGAGTTGTGAGGATGACCACACCACAATCCCTTCTCTTCCATTATCCTTTTGAGATTATGAGCATGCATGCACATGCACCTGGAATGTTTTTTCAAGCCACTAGAGCCAGGACTTAAACCAATCGGCCATGGAGGATCCAGTCACCTCAAGTACCACCCCACTGTCTGGCTCTAATCTAATCCTTTAACTCAGAACTACATAAAGCATCTTACTGTACTGTGTAGGAAGTATGTTTCTGAAATATCACAGAGAAGTGAAGCAGATGGAAAATTTATATATTAAACAAATAAAGAATACTACTTAAAATTTTAAAAACTAAAAAATAGTCTAGATTTATGCTACAATTACTTCCAGATCTATAACAGAGTTGGCATCGGCCTCAAAAGAAACCTATAAAACAACTCTAGTTGTTATGTAATTAGGGAATATAAAATATAGTGGACAAGCTACAGTGATCAACCTTCTGGCAAAGCCTTGGCAATTCAAGCCACTTGGGAAGAGAAAAAAAGAACACTTAATATTTATACACATTCCTGATAAATCTAGATGGGTCCTGAGTCCTTCCATCAGATACTGGTCCTGCTTTTTTCTCCTAATGCTGAATTATTTATTTTATGGGTATTTAAGCTGTCTTCTACTTTGTTTTCTTAAATAACCATAACTGAGGGATTTTACAAGCCAAAGGATCAAAGGATACTATCCTTTTCCTATTATGCCATTATTTCTCTTTATCAGACAATGAGATTTCTGTTTTAAAACCATTTCTACCCTTAAGTATGACAAAGAAGAAAAAGTATTTTTAAAGGAAAGATCAACCAGATAAATGATGTTTATAACATAGTTACTCAGAATACTCAGATCATCTCAGTATCCTTATAAAATTATATTTTATAAATAATTCTTTAAAAAAAAATACTGAGAGAGTTCAATGCTCAGCTTTTTTATTCTATAGGTATTAATAACAAAAGAAAATGTTTAAAGTTTTACATGAAGAAGGTATCTGGCTTCATTCATGAATATGTATTTCCTAGGCAAAGTTAAGCAAAGTTAGGACATAAATGAGTTTCTGAAATGGACAATATAAAAGCAAAAGCAAAATTTGCATAAGTTAGTCTTAAAAACACAAACATTACTTTTTTTGAGAGCGAGACAGAGATTTTTGCTATAGAATGTATGTGCTCACCAGAGAGACAGAAAGCAAGAAATCACCTCCCAGGTGGATAGCCACACCACAGTCCCTTCTCCTCCAATCTCCTCTTGGGATCTTGGGCACAAACACACACATGCACACGCATGCCAAGCCTGAGTTTTAAGCCACCAGGTCTGGGACGCAAAACATGGTCAACCACATGAGAGTCCAGCAACATAACCATTATGCCATCTGCTGGTTCCAATATCACTTCTTCTTTAACAAATAATAAAAAAGACCAATATCTAGGAAATACAATCAACATTCAACCAAATGTTTTCCCCATAATATAACCACAGAAATATTTTAATAAGTCTGCACAGTTAAACAAAGGGTTTCCATCTGCCAATAAATAATAAGCATCAGTACAGATTTAATAACTATTGGGTTTGATTTTAAAAGATAATGCCAACCATGTAGCAAATGCCTGTCTTCCATGTATTTTTCTTGCTCCTTGATTTTTTTCTAAAATGCACAAATATGTTTATTTTCCCCCTATTTTCTTCTGCAATAAACAATAAATAGAAAGGTAAAAATAGGCCCAATAAAAACAGTAAAATAAAAAAAGCAAGTATGATGTATCTTATACACATATAGTATTTGATAACTTTAGCCTAATATAATTTGCTAATATCCTTACAATATTTTCCTCTAGCAAAATATCTTTATATTATCCCCAAGTTTAAAATAACTCAAGGAAAGATCACAAATTCTAAGTTATAAAGTACAATGTCAAGTCTGTAATTGAGTTTTAAAGTCACTCTCATTTATTTTCTCTTTCAACAAATTATCATTTCAATTTGTGTATATAAAGAAAAATTAAAAGAGAAGAGCTAAGGCATGATTAAAATGAAAGAAGTGGGGCCAGTCCCCGGTTACATGAGCTAGATCCCACATGGTCGACTACACAGTTAGAGTATCAAACCCAGTGGCTTGAGAATCACGCCAGGTGTGTGTGGGGGTGGGTGGGTGGGTGTTCAAAATCCCTGGAGAAGGAGAAGTGGAGAAAGGACTATGGTGTGAACATTTCCCATGAGTGGTACTTTCTTACTTGCTCTCTCTCTCTCTCTCTCTCTCTCTCTCTCTCCCCCCTCCCTCCCTCCCTCTCAATCTCTCCCTCTCTTTTTCTCTCCCTCCCTCCCTCTTGCCTCCCTCTCTCTCCAGTGAATGCATGCAACCTCTGACAAACTGAAAAAAGGAAGATTTCATAAATGGTCCACCACCCTCAAAATGAACATTTGAATGGCTACCACAAATAAGACAAAAAGGAATAAAGGGCGCTTTAGAGAGAAATTCAGGAAATTATTACAGAAGATGGGGCAAAGGATACATGAGAGAGAACTGTATGTGTGTGTGTGATATGTGTAGAAAGAGAGCGTAAATAGGGTGAGCAGGTGGCATGGTGGTTAAGGTGCTGAACCCCCACATGGCTAACCACAGTTCGAATCTCAGACCTGGCAGCTTGAAAATCACTACAAGCATGTTTGCATGTGTGCTCAAAATCCCAAGAGGAGAACAGAGAAGGGATTGCAGCATGGCCATCCCCCCTGGGGGATAATTTCTCACTTCCCTTCTCTCGGAACCTCTCTTTCTCTCTCTTTCCAGCCATTGCATATGCCCTATGATAAAAACCTAAAAAAATAATAAGAAAAGAAAAGAAAGAGTATACGTGTAAGTATGTAAGGGTAATAAGTATATTAATGAGGAAAATACAAATGTTCTCCAACTTACAAGTGAACTTTATGAATTTTTTTACTTTACAATGGTGAGAAAGCAATATGAATTTAATAGAAACAATGATCCCATCAGAAGTGGAGGAATTTGTCAGAGATTCAATTTAAGACGTATCTTCACTCCCGACTAACAAGTCTGACATGGAGGATGATTTCATGTGCAATGAGAAGGACTACAATCTAGAATATTTTGAAGACAGTAACTCCGAGCCAAATGTGGATTTGGAAAATGAGTACTATAATTCCAAAGCATTAAAAGAAAATGACCCAAAAGCAGCATTAAGCAGTTTCCAAGAGGTTTTGGAACTTGAAAGTGAAAAGGGAGAATGGGGATTTAAATAAACAATTTAGATTAACTTCAAGTGGACAAAATTTCCAGAAATGATAAATAGATATAAGCAACTATTGACCTATACTCGGAGTGCAGTAATAAGAAATTACTCTGAAAAATCCATTAATTACATTCTTGACTATACTTCCACTTCTAAACAGATGGATTTACTATAGGAATTTTATGAAATAACACTGAAGCTTTGAAAGATGCTAAGAATGATAGGCTGTGGTTTAACACAAACACAAGCTTGAAAAATTATACTTAGAATGAGAGGAATATGGAAAGCTTCAAAAAAAATTTTACGCCAATTACTTCTATCCTGTCAGGCTAATGATGGAGAAATACACCTGAAAAATGGTGCACAGTTGTTAGAAATATATGCTTTGGAAATTCAAATGTACCTGGCACAGAAAAATTACAAAAAACGTAAAGCACTCTATGACTACCTCACATCAGGTCTGCCATCTTCATCTGCTGATCATGGGAGTCATCAGATAATGTGGTGGTAAAATACACTTGAGAGAAGGTGAATCTGAAAGGGCACATACGGATTTTTCTTGAAGCCTTCAAGAATTATGATGAATCAGGAAGTCTGAGACGAACCATTGGCTTAAAATATTTGGTCTTGGCAAATATGCTAATGAAATCAGGAATAAATCCCCATTTGACTCACAAGAAGCCAAACCATACAAGAATGATCCAGAAATTCTTG